AAACAAAGGATAAACTGTGGGCTAAAATCAGAATTGGGGATTAGCTGAGGGTTGAGGTTGTCCACGCTCTCCTTTGCTCCTAACTACCACAGGTCACTGAGAGGCACAGAGGCAGGGGCTGGCCGTAGCAGACGGGGCTGTCCTCCACGCTCCTCCTGTCTTGGCTGGACACCTGAGAACCCGTGCCCTGGGCCTGCACACAGGGTTTGTGTTGTCTGGCTCAGCCCGGTCTCCCTCTCCCCGGTCCCCCCTCCCTGCCCACTCCCACCCGGACTTAGCCCTGCTTTGCTCGGCTGCTGTGTGATTGTTGGGATAGAGGGCTGCGTGCTTTCTGGTGGCAAGGGCTGGACCACGTTCTCATTCCTTCCACAGGCTACTTTTCTGTTGTGTTTCTTCTCTCAGGCAGTCAGAGTTTTGTGAGTGAGATTTAAACCACCCACTGCCAGGTGGAGAGTGAACCGGCTCTCACTCGTTCTCGGAATAGGATTAGAGGGGCTGGGTGTGCATGGGTGTGTAAGAACGTGTGGCTGGGTATATTCCCGTGTCGCCCTGGACAGCCCTGTTTATGTCTTCCAAGTATTTACAGATGGTCCCGGGCCATTCTCATAGTTATCAGGCCAGACCTTCTAATCTTGTCATCTTTCCCTGAACTCCCCTGAGCAGAGACTGAATGTTTTAGAACAGTGAGTATCCACTTCTGAGGAGCTTCCTGTCTGAACCAGTGGTCATGAAGAGGCCCTTGAAATAGATCCCCTGGCTTGCATTCTGGAAGGTGACTTCTTGGTATCTGGAAAATCTGATAGTTGTGAACTTTAAGATTCATTTGGGAGGTGACTGAGAAGGGCAGAGGGTGACAGTGGCCCTAAGGATGGGGCTGGCTTCTGGGTCCTCAGATACAGAATAAGCTTATGCCCCCCTGGTATGTACCGATTAGTATTCGCATGAGGTCTGGTGAAGCACTGAAGGAATAATTGGTTGATTGATTGATTGATTGGCTGAAGGGTCTGAGAGGGCTGCAAAAATACCTACGGGGTAAATTGATAAAGAGTTGAGCAAGTCTAAGTGTTTCAGTTATCTATTGCTGCGTAACAGACCACCCAGAAATATAATGGCTTTTTACAACAAGAATAATTTATTCTTTCTAATGTGTCTGTGGATTGGCTGGGTGCTTCCTTGACTGTTTCTACCTGCACTCACTCCTGGACTTGTCCAGCTGGAGGGTCAGCTGGGCTGGGGTGTCCAAGATGACTTCACGCACACGCCTGGCAGTTGGTGCTGGCAGTGGGCTGAGCTGCTCTGCTTTTCTTCCATGTGGCCTTTCATCCTCCTGGAGGCTGGACTGGCTTTTCTTATGTGGTGGTCTCAGGGTGGATTCCAAGAAAGGGAAAGTGGAAGCTACAAGGCCTCTTCAGGCCGAGGTCTGGAAACCACACACTGTCAACCCAATCCTTTCCATTGGTCAAAGCAAATCAGAGTCAGCGGGGAGGGCTTTACCCTGAATACAGGGAGGTGCAATTCACTGGTACCATTTTGTAACGATCTACCACGCCAAGTAAAAGAAAAACATAGGTTAGATTAAAAATCAGGTTAGCACATGGCAGTGAGAGCTGATATTAAAGAGAGGTGAAGACCATGGCCTGGGAGCAGACTGCCTGGGCTGGAATCCAGGCTCTGCCACTTCCTAGTTGTTGACCTTGAGGAAATCACACAGCCAGTCTGCTCGGTGAGGATAATAATAACACTTTTCTTAGAGGCTTGTGATGAGTTTGATGTGACTTAGTGGAAGTGCCCAGTACAGAGCTGGGCACACCATAAGTACTCAGGTAGCTGTTAGCCATTATTATTCGTGTTACTGTCCGTAAATGGTGGGTGAGTTACAAATCTGGCCTTAGGTGTTCCAGTTCCGAGGCAAAGAGGGAAAAATATGAGGGTACAAGGTTTGGAGAGTGCTTAGGCTGAGAAAATCGTTGCTTCAGAAGAAACAGTGCTGTTTCAAATGGATAAGTACATGTTTTTACACATTGGCTTTCAAATGCAGCAGATCTGGGGCAGTCTACAAAGCGACTGGCCTGGCAGATCTTCACACCATAAAAATAAATGTATTTTTCCCCGAAAGCAAATAATTAGAGACAGTAACCTCTGTCTAGAGTTCAGCAAGACAGGCTTGACTGTCAGAAGCCCTTGACTGGAGCCCCAGCCCTCCTCTCTCCGGGGTGAGTGAACTTGGGAAAATTCATGAATCCACGACTCAGCATCCTTGTCTACAAAATGGGCATAATAACGGTGCCTACTTCACACGGACAAAGACATTAGGCAAGTAAAGCCCCTAGTCTATCGCCTGCCTGGCACATGCTCCTCAATGAATATTTGCTTTGACTATTAGTAGTATAAAGAGGATTTTAGGGGAGATTTTGTCTCTGTTGGAAGACAAACTCTCTGTGTTTTCTTCACAAACAGTTAGTGCTATGATTATAAACCTTTCCTGTCTCTTTCTTAGAGGAGCACTTGAATTTGCAGGGATCGTCATAAAGTAATAAGCAAGCAAATAAAGATAATAAACCCTGCATTTCACCTTTTCTCGAATTCCATGCTAACCCCGTTTTTCCAAATTATCGAGCGTCACCGTTTGTATGGTTTGTAGTATTCTCCGTGGAACTCCGTGCAACCTCTGTGGAAACGGGCTACAAACATTTCAGAACAGCCTTCAAGGACTTCCAGAAATCTGTCGACAGTCCCCAAACCACAGGTTCCCACCTCTCCTCGGCTGGCTGGTCTCCACATTCCCGCAGTTTCAGGATCCCCAATGCTGTGAAGTCAGGTCCATCATTTGCTCTGTCCCTGGGGAAGCTTTCTCTACCTCTGTTCGCATCTCGCTTTCCATCTGATTTATGGCTTTAGAATGTTGGCCTGGAAGATCTTAATTTAAAGCCTCTGTCAGAGGTTGTTACACGAACGCGGTGCCGGTAAAAAGCTGTTTTCCTTTGGTTTTTCTCCTCTGTCACTTTTTCTGTGGCATGAACTATGGGGTAGTAGAAGAAAGTTACCAACTTGGGGTTGAGAGAGCTATTGAAAAACTCTTGCGTAATCCCCTGGAAGGTGCCAGGCTCCATTCCAGCCAGGGGCCGAACTCAAAATTCTGGGTCTTCAGGCCAGGTCTCCCCATGGACCCCTCTTCCAATCAGTTTATGTCTCTTTCCTAAGCTGCCGCTTAGGGGCAGTTCTGGTGGTAGTTATAATTGGGCTCAGAATCTCGAGTCTAGTGCCTGTCAACTGTTTTAAACTCCTGTTCCTCTAGCTAAGGAGATTCTGTTTAGTTTCGCTGTGTTTGCGTTATGAAAACAATAGTTCTTTTTTTTTTTCATTTTCCAGATCAGTACTATATTTTAATAGCAAATGTACTATTCATACCTGTCTCCTGACTCTCAGATATTTTTATGCGCTTAAGGGAATATTCCCTCACCCTGCAATGAGAATTTTTTTCAGCCATTTTTCCTCACAGTGAGACAAAAATCATTTCCCATCATCTGACTTCCCTCTCAGACAGCATGGAGCTGCTTTGCGTCTCTGTGTGCACCTACAGTCTGCTTCATCATCTGTCCGGTTCATATGTGTATCATTACCAGAGTCATTATTTCAAAGGGTTTGGCTCCTTCAGAGTTGAGCTTCTGTATTTTCATCATTTGTGCTGTTGTTCAGTGAGGAGGATGAATCTCCACATTGCTGATACCAAATTCCTGGCTCTCGGAATGGTATTTTTGTAAAACACTGTGAAAAGATCATGGGATACCCAAGACGATTCCTGTCATCTTCGTCAAGGGGAAAGTTGAGGAATATTGTTCGTGAAAGAAATAAAGTGATAATAAAGTAAATAAATAAAGAGATAAATAAGTAGATCAAAAAAGCGATAGTACAGGTATATGATGTGGTCCCTTTTATTGTTAAAAAACCCCCAGTGGGCTTCCCTGGTGGCGCGGTGGTTGAGAGTCCGCCTGCCGATGCGGGGGACATGGGTTCGTGCCCCGGTCCGGGAAGATCCCACGTGCCGCGGAACGGCTGGGCCCGTGAGCCACGGCCGCTGAGCCTGCGCATCCAGAGCCTGTGCTCCACAACGGGAGAGGCCACAACAGTGAGAGGCCCGCGTACCACACACACACACACAAAAACAACCAGTAGATGTGTGCATATGTATTTATGTGTGTGTACATGAAAAAGAAGAGGTCCAGGGCAAGTAGTGTTTAACTTTGGTGGGATTAGGGGTTTTTTTCAAATTTTTCTTTATAACAAGAAAAGGAACCTAATGCTATTTATTTATTTATTTTAATGCTATTTATTTTTAATAACTAAAAAGAAAAAAGAAAAAAAAAATCCCCGCAGAATCAACAAAAAAACAAGAAAGGGAAGTCAGGCAGGTTGACTGGTC